ACACAACACCCAAAGGACAGACATCCCTTTGGCATTGCTGGGCTCCAGAGTTTGGACACCTTGTGCCTGCTTGGAACCAACTCTGCTTTCCTCTTGTTCCACCTGAGCATCCCTCAGGATTCTCTTCCCATGAAAATTCAACCCCATGCTGTGTGCCTGCTCCAGTGGCATGGTTGATGCTCGTTGTCACTCTGCCTGCTGCTTGGAGATGTGGGCTGTCCTTGTCTAAGGCTCTGCTCTTCTCCCAACTCCACCCTCCTCTGGAAATCTAATAAAAGCTGTGTTGTATTGCAAAGTTGACCCTTGGTTTCATTTGATCCTTCCTTCATACCCAGTAGCCCAAGTGGTAACATGGGTTCCCAGGAGTGTCCCAGCACCTCCAGGAGCTGTCTCACTTTCTCCTGCCTGCCCTTCCATCACATCCCTCTGCAGGGAAGTCACCCAGAGCAGGGACCATGCTTCAACAACAGCCTCTCCCTCTTGGTCCTCCCTGTCCTCTCCCCACTTTGGGTTCCTGCACTCTGCAGCCCAAGATCTTTTGGGTCCCACAGTGTTTGCTGCCCACTCTGGCCATTCCCCACAGGCTGCCTGAATCCCCAGGGCTGTGGGGATTGAGATGCCAAAAAAACCACTCCAATGGTAAAGGCTCAGGTCAGAGCCACTTGGGAGGCCATGGGTTGATAAGGGAGAAGGCGAGCAACCCCCAGCACCTCCCCAGCTGCTTTGTCTCCATCTCCTCCACATTCCTGTACCCCTGCATCTCCTTCTCTTCTTGTTTTTCCTCCATCTCCCACTACTTCTGGGAGCATTTTGGCCCCATCTGGCCCACACTGCTGGGACAGAAGCTCTTCCTGGGATTTCCTGTGTCACCCACCCACTGTCTGGGGACACAACTCTGCCCAGGAATGACAGCAGAGCTTCCCACAACCTAGTGTTCTGGATCAGACTTTGCTGGCCCTTTGCTGACCTTCCTCACACACCAGCTCACAAAGTAGCCAACACTGCCACGCTCCCTCCAAACCACCCAACCACAATAGCCATAACGGGGTCACCAAAACCCCCTTTCACCACTGTGCCCTCAGTAGACTCACAGGGGACACCACATGAGCCAGGACATGGCCGATAGCCGAGAGTCAGTGCAGAGGGACCTGACCAGATGAAAGGATGGGCAGAGATTGAACCATTCTCAAGGAGAAGGGAAGATGTGCATATTTCAATTCAGATGATGGAAAAAACGAATGTCTGCTCTTGCCATTTTGCTGCCTTTTTTTTCCCATCTCCTGCATTCACAGTTGTGGGCAACTCATCTTCTCACGAGCTCCCCAGCAGTGACCAATGTGGTACCATACTGCCCTTCCTGATGGCTCTGACCAGAGTTGTCTTTGTCCAAGATCATAGAGCAATGCCAGGATCACAAGATCAGACATTCTTGGGGAAGGGAGGGACCTCAGGAGGACAGGCAGTCCAAGATCCTGTTCAAAGAGCTTTGTGCTTCATGTGACTGGATACTCATGGCTATTTCATGGCTCTGAGAGGAAACTTGGGAAGACTTGGATGTGTCTATCTCAAGCTTTTCCAGTAGCCTCCACTTCTCCCTTGGCACAGGAACATGCTTAGCATGTGGCAGTAGCCCTGTACATGTAGTGTTTGTCTCTCCTTTACCTGGACCTCCAGATGTGACAAATAAGAAGCCAATAAAAGGAGGTGATTCCAGGCCTGCTGGTTTTGCAGAGGATTTGGAAGAGCTTTTGCTGGACACCCATCACACTTCCACATATTCTAAGTGGGCTTTGGGAATGTATTGTGTTTATTGTTGGTGGGAGACCAGAGGAAGCTCAGTAGGATGTCCTCTACAAGACCCAACTGGGACTGTCATCCTCAGTTGTGGCACACTGAGCAAACTGCCCAAAGGCTCCAAAGACACTACCATGGAAGATTCAAACAGCCCAGACAGATTCAAACAACCCTGAGGCTTGGCAGAAGTGGGAAAGAAGAAAGGATCAAGAAGAACCAGGAGTCGATATTGTGATGCAACACAGCTTTTATTGCAATTCCAGGGGAGGAGGGAGTTGGGAGAAGAGTAGAGCCCTGGATAGGGCCTTCCCTTGACTCCGGGAAGTGGGCAGAGCCATAGGGAGCATCAGCTGTGCCACAGGAGCAGGCACCAGTGAGGGTCTCTGACATCAGGGGGAAACGAATCTTGAAGGGATGCTGAAGAGCAGCAGGAGGAAGGCAGAGCTGGACCACAAGCAGCCACGAGGCGTCCAAGCTCTGGAGCCCAGCAGCGTCAAAGGGATGTCTGTCCTTTGGGTGTTGTGTCACGATGTGCTGTTGGCTTTTCCAGAGCTCTCCATCAGTGACCAGACCCAGTGTGGTGTTTAGCAGGGCCCACAGTTGCCATTGAGGTACCTGTGGCCTCGGGCCCAGCCACCAGGTCTGCAGATCCCAGAGGCTCCGTAGCCCCCAGAAACCCCAAAGCCTCCATAGCCCCCAAGGCTTCCAAAACCACCACGACCTCCAAAGGTGCCACCAAAGCCACCTCCAACACCCGGGGCTCCTACTGAGCCAACGACAGTGTCCTGTGGGAAGGAGCTGAGGATGACCCCGGGCATGGTGACCACCACTGGCGGGGGCTGGATCACGACCATGGAGTCAGGGCACTGCCGGACACAGGGCTCATTGATGGTGCCTGCCAGGGGAGCTGGGGCAACCACCCCACAGGAAGGGACACACAGGCTGGAGCAGGACATCCTTCAGTTCAGGAGGTGAATCTGCAAGACAAGGCAGAACTCTGGCTCAATGCAAGACCTGATCCCAAATCCCTCCTGGCTCTCTTGCACTTGGAACTTGTGTCCCACGACATGCTCTGGATCATCTAAGGCAGTCACAGACACATTCAGGTGCTGAAATGCTGATATAAACCCTTTGCTCCCCCTCATGATCCCTGGTTCTTACTCGCCCACGAGTGAGGAAAAACTTCTTCCCTCAAAGCAGATGGACAATCACCAAGTGCCCAGAGTACTTGATTCCACTGGGATACTCAGGGCATTGTATCTGCAAGTTCAAATTTCCATCTTTTCCATAGCACAGAAACAACCCTACCACATCCTGACTATGCACCATGAAAGTGTGACTGAGCCCAGAGTAAAAGATACCATGAGAAAGCTACTGCTGAGGAAGGAAAGTGGGAGGCAAGACTTGGACTTACCACAATGATGAGGAGAGTCAAGCGAAGGAAGCTGGATAGAGGGCTGTGAAGACCTCTGCTCTTTTATACATGTCCCAGACTGCCTGTGGCACTGGCCAAGGGGGTGGTGGCAGAAACCCCAGGTAATTATGAACACAAGCAGACAAGCTTCATGACACAGACAGTGATGTGAGACAATTAAATACTTCTTCATGGGCGTTATTGGTGTGTAAATGTGCCCTGGAGAGGATAAAGTGATGGGAAGGACAAACCATGACACACTATTACATGAAAGACAAGGCGCTGCAGATGTAGTTGACCTGGCAGCACCAATAAACCCTGATCTGTCCCTAATCCTCCACTTTGTGTACGTGCCAGAGTTCTGAGCATCTTGCCAAAGTGCTTTACAATCCTGTGTGCAGCCATCACGCCTTTCATTAACCCTCTTTTACAAGTTGGTAAATAGAGGCACGTGAGGTTGGGCAAAGGGAGAAGCCATTCCACGCACATGGTGTGACTTCCAAATACCCATCATCAACCAATGTCAGCAACACCTGCTCATTTCACTGTCTTCAGGTCCACAGACATCTTTATTAATTGCCCACCTCTAAGGCTGGGGAGGACATTGGGATTTTGAGGTCCCAGTTTCACTTGATGGCCATGCAAAGAGTGGAGGAGATGTGTCCCATGTGTGGCAAAACCCCAGATGCACAGAGGGCTAGTAAAGATGGGATGGACATGGTTGTAGGGTAGAGCATGAGGGACCTCTGAGAAAAGGGATGTATATGGAGGAGCAGAAGGGCAACAATGGGAACAAGTCAGTGTCAGCTTCTTCAACCTCATGGCTGTGAGCATGGTCCTTCCTGAGCCCTCTCTGGATGGACTTGATTAGTCAGATGGACATTGAGGGCTGTGCCAGGAGC